GGGCGGGGGGCTGGCCGCGGCCGGGGCGGAGGGTGTGTTTGGGGAGAGAAGAGGGGAGGGGTAGTGTCAGGAATGGAGGCGCCGCCAGGCAGCGAGTTCATTTCCCTGGTAATCAACAGCAAGCTGCTATGTTCAGAGAATGCTGTCCCTTTAATTGAACAGGCTAGGTAATTAAATGGCACTTTTCCAATAGGACGTGCTAGGTAAATCTAATAGTTGGTTATTTAATATCACTTTGAAGTCTGCCCACTCAAGCACAATGACAGCACAGGAGCATGTGAACTATTAGCTAGGAAAAAAAAAACCCAGGATCTCAAAAATTAATTAAATCGCATGCAATTTAGGGGGAACGTTTATCTTGATTTGTCATAACAGAATTAATTCAAGGCCTCCAATTCACTTGGGGGCAGATCTGTTACTCTGAATTAACCAAGCGTAATTTGGCTGATTTTTTTTTTTCCCCTCCCTCCCCTCTCTAATGCAGCAGTTGCGATTATGCACAGCCCCCTCTTAAGTATCAATAGCTTCTGGTGCTTTTAAGGTGCTTGGTCTCTAGTTATTCCGAAGTACCTTTAATGGACTTGGCTCCAGGCATAATTTCTGGGTTGCATTTCTTTGTTACATTTAATATAGCTGGTGCAGAATTTAGATTAAATATAGGATCCTGCTGGAAAACCAATTGCTTCTGGATCAGTAGCTATGGATGTGCATTTTTCTCCTCAGATAGGTTGCTGATATTTACTCGCAGGTATAAATGTATACCTTTCAGCCACACTCTTAGAAACGCACCTCTCCTTGCCTGAGAGCCGCTTAGAAAACACAACCAGGTAGTAGTGTTCCATATTGCATGTATTTTGCTTGAAGTCATAATGCAGTTGAAAATAAGCCCACCTATTGGTCATTGAAGTTACTGAAAGATGCTAAACTAAAAAATACGACTTGCTCTCCGTTTCTTGTTGTCAGCAAAGAGATTTGGAGCTGAGCCGACAAACAGGACCAACATTACCACATAATGTATTTCAAATAGGAGCAGCAATTGCACCTTAAAGTGCAGGGGTTTGGTGGATTTCTTCCCATCTTTTCCCTTTCCCCCCATATAAGGAACCTCTTGATGTTTGTGATTGATTGCCTGGACCAATGCTGAAATATTAACGACCTTCTTGGACTGAGGACCCAAAGAAAGGAAACTGAAACCGATTCTGTCATCACAATTAAAGACTCCCCTGGCTTTAATTAGCCTGACCTGGGGTATATCTCCCCGTTGCTTGAGTTAAAGAGAAAAGAGCCCATTATAGTCCAGTCTGAGACCGATAGCTACTTAATTGAGCACCTAAAGCCTCAAGCCTTTTAAATCAAACACTGTCCTGGACAGTCCCCCTGGTTAGATAATTAACTCTCCAGCGCACAGAAACGTTGTTTAAAAAAAAAAAAAAGCAACTTTTTAGAAAAAGAGTAGAATTCTAATGGTCGCCCTCATCTGTGGTAAAGGGGGATTAGACTGTGTGTATGCAAGTTGTTCTGCTCTGAGGCAGCCTTACAACTGTGGACATGGAAAGATCTTTAAACTTCATTAATAGGTTGTTTGGTAGCCCATCAGCCCTGCATAGATCTTGGTCATTTTCAAACTTTGTAACTATAATTTTTGACACTTTAGGAATCCCACCATTTTGTGACTGATTGTTCTCTGACAGGTTAGGAAAGCAGCTCTGGAGAAAATAAAGATATATGAAAAGCTTTTGGATTACATATGACTGCCCTGATTATTAAAATGCACTTAGATGTTGAAGACATACAACGGACTTTACTCAGGGTGAATTGTTAAATAAATGAACGCTTAGGCTGGGTAATCAGCTTGGTACTGTGAAAAGGTATTTTCCAGCTGGAGTGTCACGGTGTACCTGTTGGTAGTGGCAGCCATAATGATAGACTCTTATCCATTAAAATACTTCTGGGTTGCTGTATGAGGGTGTTTGGTCCTTAGCTCGGCTAAGATTCTGCCTCCCCCCAATTTTCTCTCCCACTATCCTCAGGTGTATACTTGGTTCCAACCACAGGTTTTATTTTTACCTGAATTGCTTGAATTTGGGACCCCTCTAGGGGATTGGAATAGCCCAGGATTGTCTATAAATCCTTTCCCTATGGCCTCAATAATTCTCCGGCCACTCTGCTCTTCTGAGATTCCCCCCTGCAGCAGCTGCTGGCTTCTGCAGGTGAGACACCAGGAGGTCCTCATCAGTGGTCCTGAAGTGGCTCAGCATTAGGGGACTGCAGCTCTCAGGCTCCGGAGTTCACACTCAGTCTAGTCCTGTGGCAAGAGGTCCTGACAGTGTATTATTTCAGCTTTCTTTCTGTAACTGTTCTGATTCTGCAAGAACGTGTCAATGTGTCGTGGATCTCAGACTAATTAGTTTTGAAATGGAGTTTTGATTGAACTCTTCAAATCGATGCTGCTGCAAAATTTGTTTCTCGGGCTTCCTATTAAAAGCCATCTTAAGGGGCAGTTTTACTACTCTCCCTGTCGTTCAGTCGATACATTTAATAACAACTTACAGGCTATTTTCAATAAAGTGGCGACAGCAAATTAGTAGTTTGAACATGACAAGCCTCTTCTGCAAGACCAGATTCTGAAAACTCAAAGCAATTATTTTTTATATAGAGGCATGCTGCAATCATTCAGATTACAGGGTGTTCTATAGGAACACGTCTGCTGGTTTGACACAAACTGCATTTTATGACTTTATTTGGACAAGGAGGAAATGCAAATATTAATGTTTATGATGACACCAATGTGTTAATTTGCAAGACCTATTACTTTGTTTTTCATTGTTGGAAAGTGCCTCTCTGACCCTGCTTACTTGTTCGATACCACCTTTCAATGTGAAATCATTTTGGTCTGTTTTATAAATATTTGTAGATATTGCCGAGGGAAGCCCAAAAGCAAACAAAGCTTCCGGGCTTGAGTCTACAGATTTCCATGAAAGCCAGAGTTCGATTGTCATTAAAATATTTTGTTGTGCCTGTGGAAGGCTATAAGGAATTATGTATATGGTTTTTCTTCAGTACACCACACTTCCTTGAGCTTTCCCCTCCTTTGCAGCCTTTTCCTTCTCCCCCTCCTCCCCCCATGGCAGATGTTGTGGTCTCATTTGATTGCATAGGAAAACTGCAGTGATACAGCAAACACCCAGAGAGATATGATGACAAATGGGTCCAGATCCCGGTAAATTACTTTCTGCTCAAATCGAAATTTCATTCAGTTTGTTGCTAGCAGAGATGAAGTAATCTAAATTGTGGACTCAGGAACAGATAGAGGGAAGTTGGAGCAAGCATTTCATTATCAAGAGAGAGAGAAGGTTAGGATGAAAGAGATGAGCAGAGGCAAATCTTAAGTGTTGACACCATGATTGAAAAGGTTAACCCATACACATTATATATCAACCTGGATAGCAGAGACTTTCTAATGGAAAGTCTGCACTGATGGAGGTTTACGGGAGTTTCAATACACTGAGCATGATGTCTTCTTAGATATACAATCAAATCCTCTTAACCCTTTTGATGACTCATATCTCAAGATATGATTAAAGTACAAAAGAGTTCTTCATATAATTTCAAGGACACAATGCAGTTAAACTCCAGTCATGAATTGTATCTTTTCTTTCTCGTTCTCTCTCTTTCTCTCTCTCTCTTATGACAGACCCAGTAATCTGATAAAATGTGTGTAGAACAGAATTGTTTTGTATTTGCTAGAGGTATAAGTCAATATTTTGATTAAACCCGGGGCCACCTCTCCCTTTTCATAGGTAGGCACAACGTAGTTGGCCCCCTTAAAAGGATTTTGCCCAGATTATGAAAATTTGAGGCATGAACCTAGAAATCCAGCGTGTATCAGATACACTCCAGAGACAAGGCTAGCGGTGGGAATGTTTTTTTACCCTCTCTTCGTTGGTGTCAACCATCATCCTTCTTTGTTCCAGGTTATTTGGGAATAGCGGTGCTTGCAGCGCTTGTGGACAGTCGATCCCTGCGAGTGAACTGGTCATGAGGGCACAAGGCAATGTGTATCATCTTAAGGTAGAATCTGTACCTCCCTTTTTTTTTTGTCCTACAACATGGGGTCAGGGTACTTCCCCTTAGCATGTCTTCTGTTTCCTCCAGCTGTAGACACCCAATTTAGTGACTGATATTTGGGTGTGGCTAGGATGGTTGCTGATACACATTCACATACTAGTTACCCGTACACCATACTGGAATGGTGACAAAGAAGGAAAATGCACAAAAGCCCAAATGGCTCTGTACTTTACAGAGACCTGCTTAAGAACGAGATTCTAAGCTTCTAACCCAAAAGAGACTTAATTTATACTTGCTTTCAGTGGGTTTGCTTTTTCCTTTTCAGTGTTTTACATGCTCTACCTGCCGGAATCGCCTGGTCCCGGGAGATCGGTTTCACTACATCAATGGCAGTTTATTTTGTGAACATGATAGACCTACAGCTCTCATCAATGGCCATTTGAATTCACTTCAGAGCAATCCACTACTGCCAGACCAGAAGGTGAATACCCTGCAATTTCTAATAAGCTCTATTAGAGCAAGTTGGAAGGGTCAGCCTCTTAGCCTAGCAAGGAAATATTCCTGTGTGGTTGTGTGTTTGCATGCTCTCGTAAGGAAATACAGTTACTTTACATGGGGAGTTTAGAAGTAGGAGAGCTAATCAAATTGTGACTCCTTATCGGTTTAAAAGAGAAAAATCTCAACTGGGTTGTTTCTGTACTTTCACTCTTGTTCAATGTTTATTATCCCATAAAAAGTCAAACAAAACATAAAATGTTTATTCCATTTTAGAATTTTGAAATTAAGGAATATGATGTGGTAGGCTGTGGGAGGAGACTTAGGACATCTATGGTAAGAAGAGAGAATATCTTTGTCATGAAAGGCATTAGTAATAGCACTCTTGACATCTGCCTTCCAAACTGAATTTCTGGTGCACTTGCTTTTACAAGAGTGGTTTCACAAAACATTTTGTAATGTCAGGGCATTTTGTTGATTGGTTGTTTTTATAAAATTTGTTATGTTAGGACTTTTAAAACAAAGTTCTTGCTCGTACCACTTCGTGCCACAAATATTCCATTTGATCTGCATCTTAATTCTTGATCCACAACTTGAAAGTTCTTGAACTAGAAATAGAAATGAGAAAATTATACAAGTGTACAAATCATATAGTATTAGAAGGCACTTCAGAGGGAAAATTGGTGATCAACAGTTGTCCAGCATCCCCAGTACTGGATAGTTTTAGATCTATTTTAATCTTCTTAATAAGTCCTATAGCTATGCAAGTGACTGCATTTTGATAACTGCTGTGCCTAATTTGTAACAATTACTGTCAACCTTCAGTTAAGAGACTGTTCATTCCACACTGGCCCAGAAAAGAGTGAAATGTATGACTCGTGCGCATAATTTTATTCACATCATATTTCATACTGATTATGTATTGATGACATTGATTCATTTACTCTTTACTGCGCCACTTGCATGGATATTAAATCTTATTGACCACAGATGAATTTTAATTTCAGATTGGTGATAGATTTTTCCATCAGCTCTGATAGTATGTTTGACTTTTTCATCATTAACCCAGGCAATCACACAGCACTGAGTTATTGCATTGAAACAAAAAGTGCACACTTCACTTGGTAATTCTTTATGGATTTACAATAGGAACTTCATTAATGTCTGTGGTAAGGATCTCACACACACACACAAAACCCTCAACATTTATCTGCAAAAAGGAATTTAGCAAGCTTCAAAAGTCTCAGGGAAAATATTAGCATTCTTTGTCTTCTGCGATGTATTTTCTTAATGCTCTGTGTGTTGTGTGAGAGGGCAATGACAAATATTTGAAAACTTTTAACCATTTAAAATTATACTGCTATAATATAATGCTCATATCCTTTCCTCTTGCTCATGTTTATAGAGTAATTTCAAATGTATAGTCTTTGTTTGGTAAGTGTTAATTACATGAGACCATGTGCAGTTTTATTTCCTTAACTAGTGATATTGGAGGCTATATAGAATAGTCAGTTTACTAATTTAAAAAATGGTACATATATATATATATTTTGTAAATTCACCAGTTATCCCTCATGAGGTATTCAAACTTGTTTAAGGAATAAGTGCCAAGACATAAGTACCTACAGATTTTTGTGATTTGTGTTTAAATGAAATTAACCTAAGAGTCCAGCACAAGGAATGAAGAATTTTGAGGTGCCTATTTTTTAAATAGAGGCAAAGTCATTTGTAGTTAATACTTAGTAGTAAAAACAAACAAAAAGGAACAAAATGGGAACTCTCTTCTCTGAACTTCACTCCATTTCTTTAAAATAAAACCTTAATTTTCCCTGCCAACTTACATCTTAACTTGCTGTGCTGCTGGTTCTGTACCATTTCTTTCCTGAAAAGTCAAGTACAGAAAATGATTGTCACAGCTCACCAACCTGCATGGTGAAGAGTGAAGAATGGAGAGATGAGATGGAAAATGTATTAGATTGTGAAACACCGAGTGTAGGCAAGAGCTGTGTTAGCTAGGGACCAAATGCAAAGGACACCTTAGAAATAGGAGCAGGGTACAAGATGGTGTAAATTCAAAGGAAAGGAGCCCAGGAGGAAATTCTGGTTTATGCCTTTCCAAGGTGAGGTTGTATTATGCCTTTCATAGAAGTCTTCGTTTTCTCTACACCTTTTTCGGGGGGATGGCAGTGTTAGGATGTTTATTTTAGAACACAAAATAAGTGTAGGCAATGAATATGAACTTTGCTAGCATATCTTTTCTTAATATTGGAAGCCACAAAAAGAAACAGGTGGCCTTCCAAAATTAATAGCTCTTAAAAGGCATAAGGAAGTAGAACTTAAGGAAATGTTCTTGTCAGACGTTGGTGAGAAGCTGTGTTTTGGGGGTGATGTTAATTAAGAACATCTCCCTGTTGGAATAAATGTCTCACATTTTTGCCCTTGGTGCTCAGCTCACCATGAGCACAGTCAATTCACAAGATAGTTTTTGTAAATAAAGGTTTTGGGCAAGCTGAACGTGGTCCAGAGAGATATTAATGAGAGGGCAAGGGGGAGAAGTTAATGAAAACACACTTCCTGGTGGAACATAAACTGCTTTTGGACCTGGAGAATGTTTTAAAATTATTTTCCCAAAACCCTGTGGCGTTACTTTTCTGGAAGGGATGAGATGGGGAAAATGACAAATAGCTCCATTTTATTATTTTCTTTTCTCTCATTCTCCATGTTTTGGGGAGGGAAATTGGACATTTACTTTGGCTATTTTCCTTTTATTCACAGAACCAATTACATTTTTAGGGCATGATGCATAGTAAATAAACTCAAGCATCCTCTGGCTCAAAAATAATGAGTTGATTATTTGTACATCACTTCTTTAAAGGCAATTAATTACATGGAAAGCATAAGCCCCTCATCCTCTGGTCCCTTTAAACTTTTTATTCTGCTGAAATTCGTTTCCAGTGTGGGGAATATATAGTTTACTGTTCTGTGTCATTGGCTTTTGTGTATTCTGAGAAAAATAATTTTAAGCTTTTCAATCACACAGTGATTGAAATCTCAGATGGACTGAAATCCGAGCTCACTTGTGTTTGAGGAGCTACACAATTTTGTAGCCTAGATCATTGAAAGGGGGCTAGGCTAGGCTCTGGAGAATGTTGCTTTCTAGAATGATATGAAAAAGGAATTGGGGCTAATTCTTTTCTTTTGCCAATTGCTGCCTACCCTGGAATTCTTCCTTCCATTCCAAAGTGTGATGGGGCCATTAGGAATTGTCTGTGCATTTCAGTGAAGTGAGACTTAGATTATGTCTGGAGAAGATAGTGAGCCTTCTAGTTTACATATCACTCCACAGTTGCCCCATAGTTACATAATTGGTGTTGTGTGTGTCCATCGTAGAGGACATTTGATGCTCATTTATTAAATATGCTTGCTGGCTGCTGCTGGATCTTTGTTCTGGACAGACAAATTACCTTTCTCACACTGAGCTTCCACTCTGGGGAATTAAGCCTCCACCACTTTAATTAGCTTGGAAGTGGGGGGTTGCAGTTCCTAATAGACTTCAGGCTTTTGGTAAGTTAGCAAAAGGGTGAGACAAGACGTTCCTTACAAGCTCAAAATGTCATTTTAAAAAACTCACCAAAACCTAATATATATTATTTCATTTTGATAAGTGCAAATGTTGTATTTCATGACTGTCGATTGCCTCTTCTAAGTGGAGATGTTGAAGTTCAACTGGCATTGAATTATATTCTGTAATCTGTTGCAAGTCATTATTAGTACATTGTGTGTATCAAGTTGTAGCTTTACAACATTTATGTAACATTAAGTGAAATAACAAATAAGAAATGCTCAGTGAAAAATAATACCTGTATATTTGAACATAATTTTTTTGCACTCAGGCCCCATAGATAAAGACCGACAAAAATAAATAGATGTCACGGGAAGAACAGGAAAATACTGATCCCGCCAACATTTGTGCAGCTTTTATTTAGAGTCAGATACTGTTGAAAGTGCTTCCTTATATACTGCGTAATTTTCATAGCAATGCTATTGTTCTTACTTTAATGATGAGGAAATTTAGACACTGCCAGTTGAAGTCACTTGCCATAGGGTACACAGTTGAGTGTATTAACCCCAACTTCCTAGGTAGGGACTTTGTTGCTAAAAAAAGAAAAAAAAAGTTCAAGATCCTACCATGCGGCAAGATGTTAGAGTGTAGTCTTTTGGGAGAGAAGCTTGTTTTAACCGAGTTAAAGCAATTCACTGTAGAACTTTACATCAGAAACTTTATGCAAGACCATTTAGGATCTCATTTTCTCTGCTGGTAAAACTAGAAAATGTGATGCTTTAGTTCCTCACTGCTGGAGTGAGTCGCATAGCAAGCCTCCATCAAGTCACAGTTGGAAAGTAATCTAATAAAAGAAGATTAGTGAATATAGAGAAGACCAAAGCAGTCATGTTTGAGTTTAATATCTCTCAAATTTAGCATTTTAGCTAAGATGCCCGTTTTTATTTCTTACAGGTCTGCTAAAAGGTCAGAGTAATGCAGAATGCGTGCCTTCATCTCAGATTTTGTTCATCACAGGTGGATCCCATGTGTCTTCAGTAGACAAGTCACCTTTGTAGCTAGCACCAGTGCCAGCTCCATTGCACCTTCTTTAGTCTTGATTGCCCTTCCCGCATTTATTGGTGTATTAAAATGACTGAATATGAACATTAAGGACTCCATGAACCTGGGCTAATGGGAGACTGTAGAGAAAAATGAAAAAACATCCACCGGAGGACATCTTTCGGGGGGGAGGGAGCTGGGGGGGAGGGAAATGACTAATGAAGCTAATTAAAAGAAGCATTCAAATCTGCTTTCTATCCTCATTAACAATTAGCAGGGCACTGGCCGGAGTTTGTACCCTGTGTTTTACCTTAACAACATTCTATTTGCTCTTTGTATATTTAAGTGTTGTAAGGAAACGTGTTTCAATCAAACTGAACATGAGATAAAGGAAAGAGATGTGGCTTTTGTGATATTCTATCACAAACACTTTTATTGTAACTCTGTAAAATACAATGTATGTATGCATGTAAGTGTTTTTGTCCTAATGTTGCTACTTCCATGGCAAAGAATTAAAAAAAGAACGGAAAAAAAAGGTCAGGCTCATAGCAGCTACTGTGTAGAAATCTCCTCCTACTTCTAATTTGCTGAATGAAGAAAAAAAATCTTTTATTTGTGATATTTTCAGAGACATTTGCTCTAGTATGGTGTATTTAAATAATAAAAACTTAAAAGAAAAAGAATTCAATGGAGTTTGGGCTCACACACTGATTTTTCTCTTCTGTAATTGGGGAAAATAGAGGAGATTGTTGTTGTTGTTGCTGTTGTACTTTATAACAAGCTCACTTTAAATTTTGGGGGTGAAAGAAATGGTATCTGTATTTATTTAGCTTCTGGGCCAGTAAGGGACTCTTCAAATGACTTAACTGTCATTTTTGGCTGGGGTACAAAGCAATATTTCTAACGGGAGTAGTTTTATAAGCTCAGAATATTCCCTTAACAACACTTCATTACACATCTATAACACAATGAATCTTTGTAGTTCATACATAAATACTTATTGGATTCTTGAGTTATTTTGTTTATTTTTTTTTCTCAATAAGAAAGCCTTGGGTATTGATGAAAGGCATGTTAAAAAATCTGGCACAGCCATCTTGTTCTCTTATCAGGTTCATTTATAGCCTTTGAAAGGAAATAATATTTCTAAACCATACCCATGTATAATTTGAAGTTCAATTAACTGTAGGGCTCTGGGACTCTGATAGTGATCTTTGGTGGGTAAAAGCAGCCCTTTCCTGGTGAGGTTTTCAACTGTGTGGACTTGTTTATTTTGTTTTCCTCTTAGACTTCTCTACTGATTGCCTTTCCATGAGTTTGTTGCAGGAGGATTCCAATTTCTTTCAGTGGATTCTTGAAGTCGTTGTTAATTGTAGGTAGCAGTCATCACAGTAACATCTGCATGGTCCTTAGAGTACCTCATGAAGGCACAAGTCCTAGAAATGAGTGGGTCCCAGGTGAGCTGTGCAGGGACTGTGCAGGAATGAGGAAAAGCCAAATGGTACGGTACTGGTTGCTGGGTTCACCTAGCAGGCTCATTATATGTGAGCCAGTCACTAGGTGTGTGTATAGGTCTTGTTTTCTTCCTTTTTTAAAATGGCATTGATTTGATTTTGTTCCAGAAAAGCTCCTGATATAGACCCTCTCTGAGAATAGCAATAGGTCAGAGGAAGAGATCCACCTCAACACTTTTCAGTCACACAGAGAACTTCTGGCTCTTCTTGCTTTCAAAGATTCCAGGTCAGACAAAATATCAGTTGTTCAAGCTACAAACGTGTTAACCTCCTGTAGCAGAATTTAAAAGACAGACTTCAACTGAATCATTTTGTCAGAGCTTTATAAAAAGTGAATGTAAGGAAAAAGATACAAGGGGAAAAATTACATGTTTAAAAGTATCTGTTTGATACTTGAATTTCTCCATATTTTCACTTACACATTAAAAAAAAAAGAATACATACTTTCTCAAAGAATTTAGTCTTCTCTGGAAAGCAGAGGGAAATTGTGAGCATCTTCTATATATTTGTAGCCTAAATACTCATGACCGAGGCAGTATAGAAATTCAAAGGAGGTGGTAAATAACTTTTAGTAAGTAATCTAGTGTGGCATGTGGTGATGTGGAGGGTGAAGGTCATCAGACTTTAAATGAACTATTATATGGCTGGTTCCTGAAGCACTGCGGAGTATTTAATAATGAGCTTCTAAAAGCATTTCTTAAGTTGCAGACCTATAAGATTACAAATGTCACTCATGTTAGTATAATCCACATGCAAGTGATGAAGCCTTCTCTTTGATGTGCTAAATTGGAGAAGGACTAATGGAGCTATGAATATACAATAGAACATATTTAAGTAGTAGTCTTGCTTTAGGTAAAACACTTTCTTGAAACCAGAGGCATTTCAAACAATAAAACCCAGCTCTAATGGGGATGGGGATGCTCTGTGGATAGAAAGCTACTAAAAACACTCGGGTTTATTCTGATGTGAGCAGTGACTGTATCCAGTTCTTCATCCAGAAAAAAAAAAAAAAAGAAATCCAAGATTATATCCACCTTTCCATCCATTCATTTGTGATGGGATTAATGAGTTGTATACCACCTTTCATAAAAGATTTATTTAATGTTAACCACAACATATAGCAAGATGGCCCTTGTTCTCATAGGTACAATTAAATTAAAAAAATATATATACATATATATAAGCAAATGTTACAGAGCTTTGATGAACTGATAAAAATAAATTATGTTTGTGATACAGAATGTCTCAATCATGCAAATTGTCACTCTTGCTAATGAAACAATTTTGTAAAAAGATTGTCCTCTGAAAGGGCTTAATTTTTTTTTTTAAACGTATCTAACTGTCTAGTTAGATTTACACATCCTGCAAAGCAGGGAAGCCCGAAGCCTTTCCAAACCAAATCATTTGCTCCAAGAAACTATTTCCAGCTCTTCATGATTTATTAGGAAATAGTTTAACATGGACTGTAGTGTCTTATAAAAATACAAAATGAGAAAACTGTCATACCAAAATGAAGCCTGTGAAATTGCCATCCTGTTAATATTAACTATATTTAAATTCTTTCTTTTGCCCTTATTAACACTGATATTTGAAACAACTAATCATCTGAAATGAAGCTCTTAAATTAAATGGCTTTAAATGTCAATATAGTAAGATTCTAATACGCAATACTATTTATATAAAATATTTCTTAGGGCTAATAAATTATATAACAAATACAGTGCATCCACGAGCTATATATCAGGAGCCTACAGAAGAATTTTCTTGTAGCCTAAATAATAAAGTAAATAATTGTGTTTAAATGAAGAAGAGGTTTTCCAAGGCCTTTCTCCTCCCTAGGGAGTTCAGGCCTGGGTGTTGAAGTACCTGTCCCTCTGAGAGGCCATTGGAAACAGACCATCCACAAGTTAATGTGAGTTGTCACTTTGTTACTGAGACACCTATTCTATTGTCAGTCCAGCCAAGTCACAGAAATGCTTATTGCAGTTAAATAGCAATTTGTTTCCATGAAACTGCAATTAAAGTATTACTGAGCAGCCATTTTAGATTGGCAGTGCTCTGAATGCATGTTAAACAGCCAGCGACTCCCACTTGCAGAGTCAGAGATTGGACTAGCAACTAGGTGGAAAGCTTTTACTGATGCTAGGTGCCTAGTTAAGAGACATGTGCAACAGAGAGCAATGACAAGTCAGGGCCCATTTCAGAGAGGTGAACTTGTGACTTACCTCAAATGAATACTATTTTCAGTTGTACAAGTGCTTTATGCTAGGAGATACGTGCATGTTTCCTAGAGGGAATGTTTTCAAGTTCAGATTGATTCTGCTGAGAATGGACTGCAACTCAGAGGCCTCAAGCCAATAATGTACTACAGGTCCTGACATGTTACAGCTGTGTAAACAGGGCCATTCTCTCTCCTAAATCACAACTAATAAAGCATAGGATAGAAATCAATTGATTCTGCTATAACTTCTTAGAATGACACAGCAAAGTTGTTTAATGACTCCGTTAGAATAGACAAGTCTGAGTTGAGTCACCAAAGTACCATTGTCTGAGTTCCCTCAGAAACTGAGGAGGGCGGCCTTACATTGTATGAGCTTCATTAAGATCAGACCCAACCCTGCTGGGGAGAGGAAGGCTGGATCTGCACTGCCCATCTCAAGTTCAGGATTTCTTGAGAAAGGTGAAGTGCAAGGGTTTTATTGAAATTGTGAAACATTGATGTTAGATCTTAAGAGGAAGGATTTCAGAGGTGGTGTTTTCAAAGTGCAATTAGCACTGCATTCTAACCAGCTTGGGAACAATCATTAGCTCACAAGAAGTGGAGGCGCCTCACCTTCCTCTTGCCTACAAGATCTTCAATCAAAAGGGTTATATCCTTAACGGTTTCAAAAACAGTTTTCATATTCATACACTTTCACCTGTGTTGTTTGAGCTGTAGTTTTCTTTTTTTACGTAAGAAGAAACTGCTAAAGACATTCTTCCTAAATTAATCTTTCCTTTTGGTTGAGTGGAATGCTTCAGAAATCAGAGACAAAGTGAATTTACAAATGAAGATTTAATTATAAAACCTGGAAAGAAAATTGATTGGGCTATGACTGTATGCTCTTTCTTTCTTTTTTTTTAATTTAGAAAGGGATGGTAGAGATGGGTGTGTTAAGTTTTGAATATTCCTCTAAGGCTTCTAATTCAACTTCTGTCATCCATCATGGAACTATATTTGGCATACACTTTCCATCTTTTAAATACAATGTTTAATAACTTTATCTTGGAGCTGCATAAAGATTTGTAAACATCTCTGCACATTACATTTACAACAAATAAGTACTTAGACTCTCATTCAGTCCTCACAGTAATCCTCTTAATTATTATTATTATTATTTAGTTTAATACATGAGGTAATTGATGCTCTGAGAGGTAACTTATTAAGCATGGCCACGTCTAAAATGAGTTGGGACACACTTGGGGGTATAAAATTTAAGAGTTTGCGGTAAAAACTTAGTAATGAATGGTTTCATGCAGTATTTTTAAAAGATAGAATGAATGCAAAATAAATCTACAAAGAATAGAATATCACAGTTTTAAATAAATGCTGGATGAGTGTTACTTATTCCCCTTTTGCTTTAGTCTCCCAACATGATAGGGCCCCAAGTGCCCAGATTTCTGTTTGAATGCTGACGTTTGGATATTTTGATGGAATTGCCTTATAAATCATTAGATTGCAACAGAGATAAGCTTCATCCACAGAGCTAGAATTAGTTTCTTTTCTTAAAATATTGAAACATTTTGTTTTATCTTGATCCATCCTAAATTGCCAACTGATTTAGATTGCCTGTTCAGATCTTTTGAGTTCTGAGAAATCTCACCTACTTAATGATGAATAATTAAGTTTAAGTTGATAACTGCCCACAAGTTTGCTGAGTAAAAGCCAGACTGTAGTCATCATCTTACTCCAGAAAGCAAATAAATTGGATAAATACTTTCCACATAAACTAATAAATGATGTGTTTAAAATC